CGTTGTTTCATGCTTTCCATAGGTGTTGTGTAATAATTGCCTTTTTGTACACTGTATATAGATATACTTGTGCTGAAAGCAAGAAGAAGGATCTTCCCGCAAGGTATCAATAAATACTAAAATTCCGGTTTGGTTATTCGAATCCTGTTTAACCTCGATGATTTTTGGCGAGTTAGATCCATGCTTGGAGGTTCTGTACTCCGGTTGAGGATAGGATCTTTGTTATAGGTGAGCATGGTATCACATTCTGCGCGCCGTTGTTCCTCGAAATTCATTCATTGCATCGTAGCTCGTTCCCACAATAGCTGGTGTCGTGTCCGCGGCTGTTGGTGGGCAGGATGGATGGGAAGTTGGCGATTTCTTTCAGTGGTCTAGAAAACTTGAGACACCTACTCGCCCTTCCCCTTCGGAGGTGGGGGGCTCAGTATGAGCCAGAATCGGTAACCACGGCGTTTGCGTTGGCTTCATAGTTCCTGTTACGGTTTGCATTTCCTTACTGAGCTGCGTGTCTACTTTTCTCATCTGACAGCTGTAGCTCCAAACAGTGTAGCAATTATCTGCGACAGTGCACAAGCGCAAGGACGTTGGTACGCAGCGCTCAGGCATTTACACTCCAATAATTGTAGCCTCAAATTTACGTAACAAGTTCATCTTCTCCTTGATCTTCTGCTGTGCCCTTTCCAGATGTGGCTTAAGTGTGAGGGTCCGACCAGGACTGACGCCTAGGTAGTTTGACAACGTGCCATGCTGCAGGTTTTGACCACATAACTCAACTGGTAGGTTTTGTTTCCCTTCCAGTCGGTTGTCAAGATGGCAGGATAAAGACCATGATTCGTCGAGTTTGGATGTAGCTTCCATTGATGAAAATGCTGCTTCAGAATACGGGCCTAACCATGAGTGTGAAAGCTTCGAACTCGCGTACTCGTTAACGTAAATGCACTTCTGCATTGCTATTGGTGGGAGGTCTGTGGAACAGGTGTTAAATAGCGATGAATAAGGTACAGCACCTTGAAAGAGCCCGTTGTTAATGGTCCTTTCCATACTGAGCCGCCCATTGTATCGATGGTCGCTAATCATGGCTACGATAAGGCAAAGGGTTGTCTGATACCTTATTACTTTAAGAACTTTCTGCTCGAGACCACTGAGCTATACCGTATCATAAGCAGGCGATAGGCCAGTCAAAATCACCCATTTTTTTATTCTGTTGCAAATTATGCCTCGATGAAGCCAGTATTCGCAAGCAGTTCCTCGCAACACCAGCGTACCGGTCGAAAACCAGCTTGTTTCTAGATGAATGTAGTGGAAAGCCACGTTAAGTTCAT